CTTCTTCTTCTTCTTCTTCTTCTTCTTCTTCTCCATCTTCTTCTTTTTTGTTTTTTTCCAGTTTTTCTCGTCTTTTTGTTTTGAAAATAAGTCAATTTCATTTTATTGCTATTTTTGTCTAAATTCAATGGCATCTGTACTTATTTGTTGCTGTTGGTTTTGATTCATTTTTGCATGTTCAACTGTTGTAAGTTATTGTTTTATTATTATAGCTATTATTACTACTGTCATGGTTATTATTATTATTATTATTACTATTGTTTTTATGTTTATCACTTTTATTTATTATTATTCTTATTATTGTTATACAAATACAGTGGTAAATTATGTCATCGTTTAATGTTGGCGTTATTGAAAATTTTTTGCTTTTTTCTTTCCTCTTCTTTTTTTTTTCTGGCTTTTTTTTATCACTCAGTAAATTATAGATGAATGGATATATATAAATATTTATTCTGATCGAGATTATGAAGCAACAAGTATTATAATTGATGAATTTTTCAGATTAGTGATCCCTTAATAAAGGTTATACCACCATATCGTCATCGGGAGCAATCTTCGTCTTGCTCTTCAACAACCAGTGGCGGTGGCCAACAGTTTTCACCACATTTCAGTACAGCATTTAACGGGAATTTGTCAAATTCAGACGGATTTATCAACAGAGTAATTTTCTCCTGTTATTTTTGTCTGTCATGATGATACAGTAACTGCTTTTCATTTGCTAGTAAAATATCAGTTTATATTATGGAATATCCACTTTTTTAGCGCTTATCATTGAACGCATCTCCTCTTAATAGTGGTTTGTACACAAATAGCCAATTAAATTCGGTGGCATCTTTACCTACTGCCTCAGCGCAGAGATCTACAACAGCATCTTCAGTTTCCGTATCGGATGGGAGTGGATTGCGTGACGGTGGGAATATGTTGGTCGATCCTCTTCATCGGTAAGTCATCAACAGTTGTCTTCAGTTTTTGATATACATAGTTTTTATCAATTGATACATTCTTCATGTGCGTCTATTATATTTTTTTGACCGTATTAGTGTTTTAAGTACATGCTTATTCCTTTAAATGGGATTTTTTTTTTAATTTTTTTTCATAACTTTATTGAGAAGTTTTCATACAGTTTTTTGTTCTTTTAGCACCGCGTTGCCACAGACATCTGTGGATAGGGCGATGATGAGTGCGATGATGTCACAGCCAGTTGTTGGTCAAACAGTGCTAGATGGAACATGTGGTTCACCAATCTCAAGTGGCAGGTTGATAGATAATATTCAGCTTTCTCGTTCAACTGTTTTTATTGATATGAACTAGCATGGCTTGCTTTTCATCTATATTGATTAAGTGTTTTTGTTACTTGGTATTGTTGTAAGAACAACGAAACTAACTTTTTTCCAAGCTTTTAGGTCATCTGCAGTACAAGATTCATCACCACCCGTTGCGTCGAATCTATCTGCTTTGAAAATTGATCAAACAGCAAATGCTGATATGCATGTAACTTCAGCAGCTGTAGTACCTTTGCCATCAAATATGAATGCAGTATTAAGCGGCACTGCACCAAAAGTTTGTTGTTCTCCAAGCTTTTTTTAACTATGAAAGAAATATTTTCGTTTTTTTTTTTTTTTTTTTTTTGCCGCAATAGTGGTATAAAGTTTTGCAGTGATAAACATTTTTTTAAGGACGACTTAAAGCCACTATTAGGTGACAGTGCACTTAATAATGAGAATATTTCTGCTTTGGCCTCGAGTCAGTCATCAGTGTCACCTGTTTATAATTCTGTAGATGGTAAAACAGCTTCATCAGTCCAGCGTGCAGGTTCGTTTTTATTTATTTATTTATTTGAATTGTTAATTACTGTAACCTGTAGTGAAACAGTGAGTTAGTCACTTAACAAATATTCAGTTCTTTCAGTTAAACGACCAAGAACGAGTCAAACAACTGACAAGGCTAAGAAGCCACGCAATAATATTAGAGCAAATAAGTCTATGAAAACTTTGCTCGAATCGGTTGGTCCGTTGGTTTCGGTATGCTTTTATTTTAATTTCACTGCCATTAACGTAGTTTTTTGAACATTAGTTTTATGCTTCTCAGTAAGATTTTAAAGGTTTTTTATGCGCCTTTTAGAATAATAATGTTTTCTTAACATGAATTTTCAATTTATCGGTTTAGGAAACCGTAACTGATTTTCAAAGGGAACGGGTTAATGAGCGTGATGCAGCAGCTGCTGCCGCAGCTTCTACTAGCACGACACACACCGAAACGCCTTCAACGTCTGGAGAAAACGCGTCTAATTGTATTCGGTCTCCAGATAACTTTCAAGCGGGTTCTTGTGGCTTAATAGGAGGTTAGCATTTTGTTTATATCATTTTGATATTTCATTTACAGCTAAAAGATTTTAATTTACTGCACCAGCATTTTTTCATCCTCATTGTATTAAAAAACAATTTTTTAAAATTATAGCTAGTGTAAAAGTGAGCTCTGTTGAGTCGACTTCTGCTCCTGCCAACGCAGCAGCAGCTTGTTTACCGTCAACGTCGGCTGCTAGTACCGATGTTACTAAGTTATGTGGTGCTCCCTTGTTAAGGACAGTGCCAAAAGGTTTATCCAGTCCAGAGGTAACACAGGCGAGGTAATGTTCTGTTCTAGTAAATCTCTCTTTCACTTGAGCATTTGTTTTTTAGTGACTATTACTCACTCGCGCTTTTTTTATAATTTTCAGCAATATTAAATTTTAGTTCTTCTGTCGATCGCCACCATGTTTCAACATCGGCCCCTTCAACTTCACTCGGGCTGGGTGGAGTTGGTGGCATTCAACATGGGCCATTGCCGCAAACTTTGGAGGAGTTGTTGGAGAGGCAGTGGGAACAAGGGTCTCATTTCATGATGGCTCATGCTCCTTTTGATGGTAAGTAACAGGCACTTTTCAAACGTAAGACAGCGTTAAATTTCATTATTTTCATATTGCGGTAACACCAGTAAATTTCAGTTGCGCAACTTCTGTCGTGTCTTCATGAGCTGAAGAAGGAAAATGTGCGATTAGAAGGAGAGTTGAATGGATTGGTTCGGAGACGAGATCATTTATTAGCTGTAAACGCTCAGCTGTCATTGAGGTTGGGGCAAGGTTCAACGGCTTCTACGAACAGGTTAGTTTGAATTCACTTCGCATTTTTTTGACGAATTTTTGTCGTTGTTTTTCCTTGGTAATAAGGACTTTTTTGTTTACAGCCCCAACAACTCTCCTCGAGTAAACGGAACGGCAACAGCAGCAGCAGCGTTAACAGCTTCTCAGTTACCTGTTTCGTCAATACCACCGTCTGCAAGCGCTCTCCCTTCACCAGCAAATGTTGCAGCTCTGGCATTATTTACAAATTCTGTACAACAACAACAGCAGCAACAACAGC